ATGATATTTAAAATATTTGAATTTAATAATTTTTTTGAATTAATTTTATAAGATTATTATTTTTTAAAATATAAATTCGAATAAATTTTGTGAAAAAATAATTAGAGTAAATTAGATTTAGGTATAAATCATCTACCATACTTAAATAATTGTTATAATATTATGAAAGTTGTTATTTTTTGAGGTCTTAAATTCGAGTATCATGAATTTTAAGAATATAAGAATTTAATGTCAAATGATTAAGAGTTATGTTTAAACAAATGTTATCTTATACTTACTTAGATTGATCCAAAAAAGGAAATAATATCTCACCCTCTATATATTTTTTAAAATCATCCCTTTATCTTGTTGAATAATAATAAAATATATATTTTTTATTTATGCCAAATTAGAGATATAATTTTATCTGAAAATCGATATGGATTCAAAGCAAATGAAACAACACAAAACCCCAAAACAAATAACAGAGCAAAACCTTTAATTTTCAAATCAAAATTAAGATGATCAAAGAATCAATCAATCCCGTACGCATCCCCGTGTAATAAATTCTATATATAATAAGTGTCAAATTCTTTCCGTACATCACTGTACCATGACTAAATCATAATAGAAATTATTATAGAGACAAAATGAAGAAATTATTAATAAAATTGGATTGTAAATGTTTCCATGGTAGAAGCCACTTGATGTTCTCCCCATTGAAGGCCGTTTTTGTCAACCCCTCTTTATAAAGTGGAACCGAAACCCAGTCCCATTCAAAGCTATTTCCATGTCTTCATCATCATTTATATATAGCTCACAAACAGCATGATAAGGGATACCATGAAACCCTGAAACTACAAGAAACTCGAACCCTTTTGTTTGATCTCTCGCCATGTCGGATCATGAATTCAGAGACTTTTATTACCATGTTGAAGCAGCCGACGTGTTTAGGGTTTCAGCGGCTGATCAATACCGTTCCTCGTACATGAGTTTCACGGATTGTTTACACGGTTCGACGGACGAGTATGGTTCACTCGAGAACGCCTTCGGGTTGTCGCCGTCGTCCTCGAAAGTGTTTTGAAATTATTATAGAGACAAAATGAAGAAATTATTAATAAAATTGGATTGTAAATGTTTCCATGGTAGAAGCCACTTGATGTTCTCCCCATTGAAGGCCGTTTTTGTCAACCCCTCTTTATAAAGTGGAAACCGAAACCCAAAGTCCCATTCAAAGCTATTTCCATGTCTTCATCATCATTTATATATAGCTCACAAACAGCATGATAAGGGATACCATGAAACCCTGAAACTACAAGAAACTCGAACCCTTTTGTTTGATCTCTCGCCATGTCGGATCATGAATTCAGAGACTTTTATTACCATGTTGAAGCAGCCGACGTGTTTAGGGTTTCACGGACGAGTATGGTTCACTCGAGAACGCCTTCGGGTTGTCGCCGTCGTCCTCGAAAGTGTTTTCTCCGAAGAAAAAGGAGCGTGTTGGTGTTCATAGTGGTGAAGTTATGGCCATTGCTCCTAATTCCTCCATTTCTTCTTCCTCAAGCGAGGCCGAGGGTAATTGTGAAGAAGATTCTGTGAATAATAAGAACAAGCAGCCTAAAGGCGGCGGAAAAGAAAGCTCTAAGAAAGGGTAATCGGCTAGTTAAACTTCATCTCCATTTCTTCGATTTATTGAAACCTTTTGAGTGTTTTAATTGATTATTGTGTCTGTAATAGGAGCAAAGCAGCTAAAAAGAAAGAAGAGAGGAAGCAAGAAGAACAACGGTTTGTTTTCATGACGAAAAGTGAAGTTGATCATCTAGAAGATGGGTATCGGTGGAGAAAATATGGACAGAAAGCAGTGAAGAACAGCCAGTACCCAAGGTTTGGTTCCATGTCTGAAACCTGATTACACGTCTTTGGTCTGTGCTTGGCTTTTTGCATTATCTTTCTCGCCCCTTTCTTTGACTAGCTTGATGGGTTTTGTATGTAGTTGAATTCCCTGTGTGTGGCTAGCCTTTTTTCATCGGGAAACAAACAAGAACAAGCTTGTTCATCGTATATGGTGAATGATTCGGAGAGCTTTTTTTCATTTTGCAGAAGCTACTATCGGTGCACCACACAGAAGTGCACGGTCAAGAAAAGGGTCGAGAGATCGTACCAGGATCCGTCGACGGTGATCACGACGTACGAAGGCCGACATAACCACCCGCCTCCAACATCGATGAGAGGGAATGCGGCGGCGCTGCTCCAGCCTTCGATGTTTTCTCCGCCGCAGCTGGCGTGGACGACGAGCTTCCCGCACGAATTGTTCATGCAGAAGGCGCCTCATCACATGAATGACCCAGCCGGTGCAACAGCTTCGATGTTTGCAGAAAACCCTTTTCAGCAGCACTACCAGCAGCACCACCAGCAGCATCAGGTTTCTGTTGTCCGACTACGGCCTTCTTCAAGACATGGTTCCTTCCATGTTCCTAAAGCATGAACCATGAATCTCTTTCTTCCTGCATCTTTTACCACACACACACACACATATAACTGGTATTAAATCGCTATAACATCAAGGACTAGATGGGATCAGTGGGAATGTTCATATGTAGTTTTTTTAAGCAAAAACCTAGTTTTAAGAGGACTGAGAACTTGTATTAATCATGTTTAGTTGCATTTTATGTTTTTGTTTCATCATCGTCTTGATGGAATTATCAATGAAGAATGCAGCACATCATTAATAACCATATTAATGTACTAATATAAACAATAGCAATGTTTTTTTATAACTACTCATTGGTGCAACAATACATTTTGTTAGAATTTTGAATCATGCCATAAATATGGTATTTGGGAAACGAGAAAACGAAGGAAAATGTAAAGATGACGAAGGAAAGAGGATCCATGGAAACACATTCATCATATATAAAATAAGCACAAATCCTCAAATCGCCTACCACTGAATTCAATCTCCTATACGTAAATAAATCATGACATAAAAATAACTATAAACATAAAGATTCTGGGCTACAATTATTCCACTCTAAACCCAGAAAACATTCAAACAGTGCCATCGTCTTCCACATCAGAACCCCTCATGTATACTGACAGTTTCCAAAGCCTGTAAGGAACAAAAACAACATTATGAACAACGTCAGCCATGAAACATCAACAGAAAAACAAAAAAGCATGTTTTAAAACAGGATTAGGGTGTAACCGAGGCTGTTTACTTGGATCGGGCATTGTGATGATGAGAGAAGAGTTGGTGAAGTAAGAGTGGTGCGGTGCCATAAGCTTGGTAGTAAGAATTCATGGCCAATGGCCATCAGTAAGATCCCTGCATAATGGGAATAAAATTCTGATGGGTGGTTCATAGTTTTCAATTTCTGGGAGTGAATGCAATTTTTACCATTATTATTATGGAATAGTCTGACATATTCCGAAGGGACCTAATCAAAGGACCCAGAATTGAATTAAAGGAGTTAAGTTACTAAATTTTAAAACAAAAAAAAATCTTAAAGAAACTAAACCATAAAAATTAAGGAAGTTGGGGATTAATTACACTTACTTTAAAATCGAATGGTCTTAAAAAATAATAAACTAGAAAAATGAGGATTAATGCTTAATTTCATTAATATTAAAACTGGAAAAATCCTAAAATTAATTAAATCAGAAAATTTTGAGAGAAATGAAGACTAAATTACAATAATTTCAAAATTATCAGTGGCTTAAAATACAATTAAACCATTAAAGTTGGGGGCGATGTCCCCTCTCACTTACAACATGGCTATGTCCTAACAGGAAATTCAACCATAAAAAATAAGGGAGTTAAGAATTAATCATTTGTTTTAAAACTAAACGGTTTTAAAAGTAATTAAATCAGAGAAAATGAGAGGAATCAGTGCTTAATTTCAAAACTATCGGCGACTTAAAATGTAATTAAACAATTAAAGTAGGGGACAATCCCACCTACCACATGGCTCTGTTCTTGGACCTAACTGCAATTTGACCATTTTTGCTTTCATATCAAGCACATAAACGAAAGATAATGGAAAAGGCGCGTACCAGAGTGAAGTGATACAATGAGAAGATAAAGAAAAGTGGGAGAGAGTCGACTGATTTAGCCATTGCCTTTGGGTTGAAGAAACTTCTAATTCCAGACCATAAATTGCTGCTTCCACGGTATTTTCTTAGAACGAGTTATTATTACAACATTCCTGGCAGGAGCAACCATCTTGTAGTGGAGTTGGTAATAGTTTTAACGTCTGAAAATGCCTTAAATGGACAATTTAACAGTGAAGTTGTAAGGGCAAAACATTAAACATCATTGGGTGTTTTCTGTGAATGACTTGTAAATTTGCCATAAATATGTCACTTTTAAGTAATGATTGTTGAAAATACGTTTTAATCCCATGATTAATTTTGGGTTAATTATCATCTTTAACTCAGAAACATTAAATCGAAGGAGCTGAACAGGTTTAAGACATGGCCAAAGGTCTGGATCAGACATTAGTCAAACACTGTCTCTGCCATATTCCAAACCTTAAAAATCTTAGATCATATTCCGAACGAAGATCATAGTTTAAAGTTACATAATACAATGAACTCTAATTAATTATCAACAAATTTTGGAGTGAATGCTGATTAATGTTAATACAAAGATTAGATTAGTTTTTTTTTCTGTTAGGAACGAAACTCTTCATGTTCGTTAATCATATTGGTCTCTGACCATTCGATCTAATAAATGGCGATAATCACAAAGACAAGACTTCCGTAATGTTGTAGGATGCTCTTTGTTTTTTCATCAGTTTTTCTTTCTTTTAAATAATAAAATGCGAATTATATAAAGAAAAAAAAAACTTCCTTAATTCTCAATATTTCAATTTAAAATTTAAGAACTTCGAATTCCTTGTATCATCGTATGTTCTATCCTTTGATTATATTTAAAGATTATTATATGATACATAAGTCGTAAGAAGAATAAATTCACAAAAACTACAAAATAAAAAAAATAGTAATAATAAAAATGATACTTTTATGATCATCATTTAAATATCATATAGATCAAATATAACAATCGTTTCATCCATAAAACATGCTATAGAATCCAATCTCCTAGAATGTAAATAAAATTTATTACATATCTTCCGTATGTATGATCAATACTCCTCACACATACTGACAGTTTCCATAGCCTGCAAGAACAAACAATTATGAACAGTAAAATCAAGATAAACAAAAAAAAATGTTTTTTCGTTAGGATTAAGGTCTCACTTGGATCGGAGATGGTGATGAGACCAGAGCCCGAAAAGTGACATTGATGTTCCTGACGACCATAGGCTTGGTAGTAAGAGTTCATGGCAACCGATGCATGGTTGATGAGAGTGTCGGGCTCGAAGCAGGCTCCGTTCGGCTGTATCTGGCTGCAGTTCAATCCCAAGGATCCAAGATCATTACAGGCCGAGTTTATGTCGGAAGCCAGTGTTGCATCATCGGTCGAAGGCTTTGCAACACACCATGTTTTTCCCTGTTTAATTAATTAAAAAAAACATGAGGTTTTGAAAAAGAAAAAAAGGGTTTTCTTAATGGAAAATTATAGTTATATTCACAGCTAAAGATCGATTTTTAAACCTGCCCTTTGGCCAGCTCCAGTAAGATCCCTGCATAAATGGGAATGAAATTTTGATAAGTAGTGGAAATGCAATTTTACCATTCTGTTGACGTATGGTTTTTACAAATTCTGGATAACCACAATTTTACCATTTATGCAACCCAGAAACGAAAGACAGAGAAAAGATGCATACTAGAGTCAAATGACAGGAGGAGGAGAAGACAGAAAACTGGGAGAGAGACAGTTGATCTGGCCATTGTTCTTTGTTTTGAAAGTAAAAGAAAGGAACTTGGGTAATAAGAAACGAAGAGAAGTTCAACCATATATAGGATGAAAATGCCTCAAATGGACAGTTTTAACCGAGGATCTGTAAGGGCAAAACATGAAAAGCATTGGGTGTTTTTCTTGTAAATTTGCCATAAAGGGTCTCTTTTTTAATGATTGTTGAAGATATGTTTTAACCCATAATTAATTTTAAATTTATCAAGAGCTGAACAAGTTAAAGACACGGTCCATGGAAAAGGAAGCGAAGAGGTTTGAATCAAACATTCTCTGTCACACTCCAAACCTTAAAAATAAAGAATAAACTTAACATGAGTTTGGTTAAAAGATTCAAAATTGTCGAGATTACCGTAAAAATCCAGAATATATAAGGTTTTCATCAACAAGTTGATGTTTCTCCTTTCAAAAGCTTCGATTTTATGATCGCTTAATCTGGATCAGAATTGTAAGTTTTTATTCAAGATCAATTCATCTTTATATTTATATTTAGTGATATTTTATTTATTTTATATTTTTTAATAAGTATATCATCACGTGATATGAATATTTTTTTTTATTTTATTCGATAAGATAAAGAGATAATTTAAAAATATATAGTGAGACATTCTAGTAATTATCATTAAATATATGGAGGGGAGTATTACAATAATTATTATGTCGGATTAGGTTGAATTTCTTTTTACAATAAACTTGACTATATCTTAATTACAAGTCCATCCATCATAAAAATCCGTTCTAAATTTGAATTTCAAATACAAAAATTACTTTATAAAATCGAGTTGAAACTCTTTAACTTCAAGTATTCTAATTATCTCTAGATCTGATAATATCTCAAATCGATCAAAATTGAACTTCTGAATAAAAATAAAGATGTTTTTCTCATCCATAAAACTCTAACTCAATTTTATTTAGAAAACATTAAATTTTCTCACTACTCATCTAGCAAATGATCTCTTAATGTCAAGAGATTTGTGGTTTTTATCTATTAATGTCAGGTAGGATTTGTGGCTTTTATCTATTAATGTCAAGAAAAATGTCTTTGATTTTAATTAGATGTACATGTCGACATGGGTCAGCCCATATCAATATTAATCAGTACAAAATCTTGAAACCGGAAAAACAACTAGAAAGAAATCTTTGGTTTTAGGGTTTAACTAAAACTATATACACAAATGAATGGTACTGAAAACAAACATACTTCGTCATATTTCCATTAAATTATTGATTGATGATTATGTAATGACAAAAAAAAACCCTAATATGTCAAATAATTCATAATGAAGAATCGAAATTTTAATACATTATCGTTTCTGTTCAATTGATATTTACGAATATAAAAGATAAATAATACTTTTGATATAAATATATACGAAAATAACATTTCCATATTTACTAATTACTATCATATAATGGATGTATTTATGAACCATATCGAATGAAAGAAGCAATGTATTAAAGGGGGTTTAATCTTATCGAGACATTGGTGGTGAGATACGTCATTACCAGAACTAGAAAACTTGAAGAAGAAGAAGAAGAGAAAAAAAAAACCCATAGTTTTCACAATTCACATACTACCTAATCACATGTTTTGCTTTCAATTTGTGGATGGGAACATGAGAAAGCAAGCTGTTCTCAACAAGACAAACTATTGTTGGCATGACACCACTGACCACTAAGAAAAAAAAGGGTAAACTCATGTGTAATACCTCAAATACCACTTTTGTTCCATTTTGGACCAAACGACTTTGTTTTCCAAAATCATATCTAACATTAAGTTTTGGTTTCATTTTAGTCGGTGATACTGATGTGTCACCATAAGATAATGTCACATCATCCTCAAAATATAAAAAATACCACATCAACAGTTCTATTTATTTTTTAATGGTGGGTGACCAAAATGAAATCAAATCATAACGTTAGATATTATTTAAAAAAATCAATTGAGTGACCATAACGAAATAAAAAATAATAATTAAGATACTAAACATGTAATTTACTTAAAATGTAATATACTTAAAATGTAATATCCAAAATTTGGACTAATGATTGGGATGTAAAAATTAGAAAGTTTGGGGACTAAAGTATAAATTTGTAAAAGTTTATGGACTAAAAAGTAAAATTTCAAAAGTTATATTTTGGGTTTGTAAATAAGTATTTCAGCCCAAGATAATTATTTTAGTAGGTTTCAGATTTTTTGATCTGGAGTTTGCATAAAAGTTTATTGAAGGACAAAGATCGGGTGAATATTCAGACAGTCGGATCGAGTCAAAAGTCTACAAAAAATTGAAGAAAGATAGTTTGGGGTTATAAAATTATATGGAGATTTTTAATTAGTGGAATTTAAGTTGGATCGTGGAATTTGGTGAAAATGCACTATAAAGTGAAAAGGTACAATTTAGTGACTAAAATAAAATTTTAAAAAATTAGATGGCCAAAAAAGGAAATTGAGAGATGAAATTTTTACAACTATTTAAGAATATTAAAATAAAATTAAAGGAGTGGCATGGAGGTAAAAATAGGGATTCATTAAGGACAATTTATACTTTTAGATTAAATTGAATTAAAAATTCAATTTAATTACATTTTAAAAGTCAAAGTTGGGAGATATTTACTTAGAATTTTCAAGAAATCAGCTTCTCTCTTCCAGCAAGCTCCGAAACTCCATAGCCAAAGGTGAGTTTGCTTTTTTGTTCCCTGCAATATTTGGTCCATTTTAATTAGATTTTGGATTAAAGTGTGAAATATAAAATAATCCTCATTAAATTCTTTTTTATTTGGTAGTAAAATCTCATTGTTTCATGCTTGATTTGTGAAAGTGGTGATTTTGGTGGTTAGAGGGGAAATGAGAATTTAAAGAAAAAAGATTGGATTTTGGTTCTAGTAGTGTTATGGAAGCATAAACAAACATAAAAGTTGATTAAAAAAATCATCAAGGGACTAAGTTGAGACATTCGGCCACTTCGGGTGTCCATGAGATAAAAACAATTTGTCAGACTGACCTCTTGTCCTGTGAAGTTTGGTTTGATAATTTTATGTGCTTATATTCTTATGGTCATGCACACGTGTATGTTTATATGGAGCAATGGAACACTATGGTTCACGCAGCAATACAATACTACTTTAATTCCCACGTATACTGGTTTATTATTTATATCACCGACACCTTCTATATATGTGTCGCCTTTAATTATTTACAAGGCTTTCGTTGGTTGTTGACTTGTACACCATGCATGCGACCACGTTCCCATTTAGCTCTAAGGATTTTAATTGAATTGATTTGTTATTTAATGGAAACCGATGTATATCCTATGTACATTAGTTGATTTTGATTTGTTTTTATTAGGTGAATTAAAGTATTAATATGTGTTTGGAATTTGATATATTGGGACAAATGGTGTTCGTGAAAATCACAATCAAAATTTGAAATCGAGCAAATTGAAAGATAAAGAATAAGTTAGAGAGTAAGCGATAGTAACAGTCGAAAGCGTAGTGAGGCAACATGTGAGTGTAACTAAATTTTTAACGATAATACGAGGAAGACTTACGATGAGTCAACTTCGATCGTTTTTATTTAAAAGGTTGTTTTAATAATAATTGAGCATAGATGTTATCAAATTGTTTTATTTTATAATGTAGGATTGTTTCGGGTATGAACTGCCCAACATAGTGTTTACGAGATTTTATTCGAAATGAATATATGATTAGATTATATGCAAAAAAAAATATGATTTTTAGTAAGCCCAATATATGTAAGTGAGAGTTAATGGCATAATTGGCATGTCAAGAGGTAGAGTGAACAGGTACAAGCTTACAAGCTGCACCAGTATAGATTGTTCATATGACTCGTGTGCTTTAGTGGTGCTTAGGTGGAGTTATTTGGTGCAATCTACATGATATTTTATATTTTATATGATACAACACTATTACTCATATGACTCGTGTATCTTAATGATACACGAGGTGGAGTAACCTAATACAGTTTATAGTGGGCCCTCACTTATATGACTCACGTACCATAGATTTCTCATGACAGTACAGTGGGCAACGATACAAATTAAAAATAGAAAAGTACAAATTTGATACATAGTTTAAGGATTTTAATAATTATTTTTATTATAGTTTATGTATGATTTATTTAAATAATGTTTTATACTAATGTTTAATTTATATGTATTTATGTCATAAATTGCCTCACTAAGTGGAATAATTAGCGTGTGATTGGTTCACACGTAGGGAATGTAATACCCCAAAATTTCAACAAGCGTTAAAAATGCAAAATTTGAAAGTTGGTGGCTAAAATATAAAATTAGAAAAAATTAGGGACCTAAAGTGTAATTTTATAAAAATGTATATATTTTGGTCCGATAAATGGATAGTTTACCTTAAAAGAAGGATTTTTATGTATGTCACATTTTCGATCCGAAATTTTTAGAAAGCATTATTAATCAGTAAAGTTCTATAAAATAATTGGATATCCAAATCGAATAAAAATTTACAAAAATTTGAAGGATAGTAGTATGAGGTTAGAAATGTGTTTTAGTAGTTGTAATATGAATAATTTGAAGTGGATTAGTTAGATTAAAAGAATTTACTCTGTTTTAGTGAGAATTTAGTGACTAAATTGGATTTTTGGAAAATTAAAAGGGAAAAGAGGAAAATTGATAGATAAGATTTTTATATTTATCTAAGATTATTAAATGGGAGATAAAAGGATGACATGGGGATAGATAAGAGGATTTATTAATGGCAATTTTGACGTTTGGGCTAAAATGAATTTTTAATTAATTTAAAAGGCCCAAATTAGAGATATTTGCAAGGAAAACTCACGAAAACTCTCTCCTCTACACCAGATGCTGGACGTCCTCCGTAGCTAAGGTAAGCAAAGCTTTGTTTTCAATTTTTGAGCCATTTTGATTAGAATTAGGACTAAAGTGTGAAATAAGAAATTGTTCCCCATTCAATTCTTTTTCTTTTGGTATAAGTTTTTCATGGTCTCACGCATAAATAGTGAAATGGGTTTTA